CAAATGGATATTACAGTTGCTTATAATTTAATTGTTTGTTTTTGTAATTTGAGAAGCTGACAGAGTGAGTTCCTATATACTGGTATATTCCCCAAATGCCCATAATAGCCAGGACTGGGTAGAGCTGAAGCCAGGAGCCAGATACTCACTCCAAGTCTCCCACATGGGTAGCAGAGATCCAACTACTTGAGCCATCACCTTTGCCTTCCGGTCTGCATTAGAAGGAAGCAGAGGGGCCAGCACTGTGGTATAGCAGGTAAAGCTGCCGCCTGCAGTACTGGCATCCTATATGGGTGCCAGTTCGGGTCCTGGCTGCTACACTTCTGATCTGGCTTTCTGCTATGGCCTGGGAAAGCAGTAGAAGAAGATGGCCCAAATCCTTGGGCCCCTGGACCTGCGTGGGAGAACTAGAAGAGGCTCCTGGCTCCTGGCTTCAGATTGATGCAGCTCCAGCCATTGAGGCCATTTGGGGAGTGAACTAACGGATGGAAGACCTCTCTCTGCCTCTGCCTCTCTGTAATTCTTTCAAGTGAACAAATGAAAAAAAAAATCTTTAAAAAACAAAAAAAGAGCCGGCGCCGCGGCTCACTAGGCTAATCCTCCGCCTAGCGGCGCCGGCACACCGGGTTCTAGTCCCGGTCGGGGCGCCGGATTCTGTCCCGGTTGCCCCTCTTCCAGGCCAGCTCTCTGCTGTGGCCCGGGAGTGCAGTGGAGGATGGCCCAGGTGCTTGGGCCCTGCACCCCATGGGAGACCAGGAAAAGCACCTGGCTCCTGGCTCCTGCCATCGGATCAGCGCGGTGCGCCGGCCGCAGCGCGCCGGCCGCGGCGGCCATTGGAGGGTGAACCAACGGCAAAGGAAGACCTTTCTCTCTGTCTCTCTCTCTCACTGTCCACTCTGCCTGTCCAAAAAAAAAAAAAAAAAAAAACAAAACAAAAAAAAAAAACCAAAAAACAAAAAAAGAAAGAAGGAAGCAGACTCAGGAATGGAGCTAGGTAGTGAAAACGGGTCAATATCTGCTAGGGAACTTGTTCAGCCCTCAGTGAATGACTTGGCTCGGATTTATTTATCTAGTTCTCTACTGATGATCATTTGGGTTATTGCTTATTTTTCTTCACCATAAACAATACTGCAACAAAGATCTGTGATACAAAATATATTTAGCAACTAGCTATTTCCTTAAGTCTATCCCTACAAAGATTTTTCCAGATCAACTGATACATATATTTAATAATTGAAAACATATTGCCAAATAGCCCTCCAAATGATTGTGCCAACTATGTTGCCAACATCAGTATATGAAAGTGCCAGTTCCTTACAACATTGGTATGTTTTCCAAGTGAATAAGGAAAAAAAGGAAATCTATTTTAATATGAATTTCTTTTACTGATAAAGGTCAAAGACTATGATCTTTGCAATGTGTTATTTTTCTTTTATAATTTTGAAGTGTGCTAGTTAGCATGCCTTGGCCATTATTCTCTCTCTCTCTAAGAAGCAGGAGATAGAGAGAGCTCACATTGCTGGTTCACTCCCCAAATGCCCAGGGCCAAAGCCAGGAGCCAGTAACTCAACCAAGACCTTCCATGTAGGCTGCAGGAACCCAATTACCTGAGCCATCAGTGTTGCCTCCCAGGGTCTGAATTAGCAGGAGATTGGCACCAGGAGCCAAAAGTGAGCACTGAACTCAGGCAATCCTATATGAGAGGTAGGTGTCTTAACCATAAGACAAATATCCTCCCCATACAACTATTCTTACTGGGATAGTCCTGAAGATTTACAAAAACTCTACATAACAGAAAAAAAAAAGATCACTTACTGAACTTTTTGGCCCAAGTTAATAATTTATCCATTTTTAAAAAAATGGGTGGCAGCGGACCAAGAACTTCAAACATTTTCTTCTGTTTTCCCAGGCACATAAGCAGAGATCTGGATAGGAACTGGAGCAGCCAGGAATCCAACTGGCACTCAAAGGTGGCTTAACTGACTGACTATACCACAACACTGGCCCCAACATGACAATTCTTAAAGGCTCCACTACTTCCCAACAACACCAAACCTCCAACAAATGAATCTTTAGGGACAAACAAGATCCAAACCACAGTGGCAGGTTTCACTTATGCCTTGATAATTATGTAACCATTAGGGGCTGGTGTTGTTTTAATCATCCAGTTGTCATTTCTTACTGATGTCATTTTTTCACACTACCTTCACAAGAAATGCAAGATATACTCATTTTACTTTGCAAAGTCAAACAGACTAGGTCATATTAGTGATCTAGTTATATTCAGCTATACCTAGGTATTACAAAGCACAGGACAGCACCAGGGGTACCAAGACAACAGCAAACTGACTCAGACCATCCACAAGCTATACACTCAACACACTGAAGAAGCCAAAAGAAAAACAGTGACGGGCTCTGCCTGAACACAGGCCTGTCCATTCTCAGATAAGTTGAGGGAAACTGAGGGGTCTGGTAGCAAACAAAACACTTTTCAAACACAAAGGTTATAAGCTGGGGGGATGAAGATGCCAACCCCACATGTGCATACTTGGGAACCAATCATTCCACTTGGTTAGTATTTATGGTTAAAAATGTCTATCACAGAGCCGGCGCCGCGGCTCACTAGGCTAATCCTCCGCCTAGCGGCGCCGGCACACCGGGTTCTAGTCCTGGTCGGGGCGCCGGATTCTGTCCCGGTTGCCCCTCTTCTAGGCCAGCCCTCTGCTGTGGCCAGGGAGTGCAGTGGAGGATGGCCCAGGTGCTTGGGCCCTGCACCCCAAGGGAGATCAGGAAAAGCACCTGGCTCCTGGCTCCTGCCATCGGATCAGCGCAGTGCGCCGGCCGCAGTGGCCATTGGAGGGTGAACCAACGGCAAAGGAAGACCTTTCTCTCTGTCTCTCTATCTCACTGTCCACTCTGCCTGTCAAAAAAAAAAAAAAAAAAAAAAAAAAAAAAGTCTATCACAGCATTATTTACAATACTGACAATTAAAAACAATTTAAATGTCTAACAATCAGTGAACAGCTAAATAAATGTTATGAAAGTATTACCTGTCATTTAAAACTAAAATTTTAACATGGAAATGATAATAAACAAGAGTTATAGTACAATATATTTCAGTTACATAAAAAAGAAAAACAGTGACATCCTGAAGGGGAACTCATAGAAATAAGTATTGAGATTTTTTGGGAATATGCACAAAGTGCATCTGCTAGAAACAATGCCATCTGTAACTGTGAGCACCACCTGTCCTCAGATCTTGACTTCTAAATACCACAACCACCTGAAAAGAACCAGCGCTCATAGCCGGCGCCGCGGCTCACTAGGCTAATCCTCCGCCTTGGGGCGCCATCACACCAGGTTCTAGTCCTGGTCGGGGCACCGGATTCTGTCCCGGTTGCTCCTCTTCCAGGCCAGCTCTCTGCTGTGGCCAGGGAGTGCAGTGGAGGATGGCCCAAGTCCTTGGGCCCTGCACCCTATAGGAGACCAGGATAAGTACCTGGCTCCTGCCATCGGATCAGCGCGGTGTGCCGGCTGCAGTGCGCTGACCGCGGCGGCCATTGGAGGGTGAACTAACGGCAAAGGAAGACCTTTCTCTCTGTCTCTCTCTCTCACTGTCCACTCTGCCTGTCAAAAAAAAAAAAAAAAAAAAAAAAAAAAAAGAACCAGCGCTCCTTCGAGAAAGACTGATTCCAAGAAAGGAAGTGACAAATGTGTTAAGACAAGCCCTGAGCATCTTGGGACGGAAATAAGTTAGTACTCAAAGAAAGGGGGACAACTCAAAGGACACAGGGGCTTCTAGGAATCTGTGAAAAAAAAAACTTTTTTCTTAAGATTTATTTATTTTGGGGATAGTGTTGTGATACAGCGGGAAAGCCAATGCCTGCAATGCTGCAATAAATGGGCACTGGTTCGTGTCCCAGCTGCCCCACTTCCTATCCAGTGCCCTGTTAACAGCCTGGGAAAAGCAGCAGAGATGGCCCAGGTCTTTGGATTCCTGCCACTCACACAGGAGATGCAGATATAGCCCCTGGCTCCTGATTCTGGCCTAGCCCAGCTTCAGTCATTGCAGATATCACAGGAGTGAACCACAGTAGAGAAGCTCTAACTCTTTTGAATAAATAAGTAAATCTATAAAAAGAAAAAAAAGATTAGGACTGGCATTGTGGCACAGAAGGTTAAGCCTCTTCCTGCAGTGCCAGCATCCCATATGGGTACCCGTTTGAGTCCTGGCTCCACTTCTGATCCAGCTCCTTGCTAATGTGGATTCTCTCTTTCTGTATTTCTTTCAATTTCAAATAAATCAATCTTAAAAAAATATTTATTTGAAAGGCGGACAGCAAAGAGGGAGGGAAAGACAGAGGATCTTCCATCTACTGGTTCACAACGGTTCACCAATGTGAAGAGAGCAGATGTACACAGCCCCTACACAAAAAGCAAGCACAGGAGCCATCCCAACCCTTTATTTGGGATAGGGGTTCAGATATCCCAGGGAAGTGGCCTAAAGTCAAAAAATGAAACAAGGGGCTGGCGCTGTGGCACAGTAGGTTAATCCTCCGCCTGCGGCACTGGCATCCCATATGGGCACCGGTTCTAGTCCCAGGTGCTTCTCTTCCAATCCAGCTCTCTGCTATGGCCTAGGAAAGCAGTAGAAGGTGGCCCAAGTGTTTGGGCCCCTTCACCCATGTGGGAGACCTGGAGGAAGCTCCTGGCTTTGGATCAGCCCAGCTCCTGCCATTGTGGCCATTTGGGGAGTGAACCAGCAGAAGACCTTTCTCTCTGTCTCTCCCTCTCACTGTCTGTAACTCTACCTCTCAAATAAATAAAATCCTAAAAAAAAAGAAGAAGAAGAAGAAGAAAAACAGCAGAATCAAATGACCAAAGGCAGCACTGAGGTTTATGGGAACTGATAAGAAACAGAGAGGGTGACAGGCTATAGAACAGGTCAATATTAGGCTGTCATGAAGCCATCTGAGACATATAATTAATCTATTACTCACCTAGCATCATCATTCATTGTAGTACTGTCAATAGGTGCCATGAAGCTCAGTAGCTTGCTAAGGACATGAAACCTAAACAGAGCAGGAAACAAAGAGACAGCAACATTAGGAACTATTAACCTAGAAAAGGAAACACCACATTGTTTGGATTGACAAACTCCAGAACTGATGACAGGAACATCCAGAGAGGACTAGAGAAAAATTTACAAGCACTTACAACTCATAATATTATTTTTCCCTTTTCCCATAATGCTACAGGTTTAAAAATCTGCCAACAATACACGCGATAAAGGACACAGACCAACACAGATCCATTTATATCATCACAGGCCCCCGAAAGAGCAGATAACTCTTGTTTCTTTGAGCAATATACAAACCCTTCAATGTTACTCCAGAAAAAAGACAATGAGGGGGCCAGCTCCACGGCGCAGTAGGTTAATCCTCTGCCTGCGGCGCCGGCATCCCATATGCGCGCTGGTTCTGGTCCCAGCTGCCCCTCTTCCAATCCAGCTCTCTGCTATGGCCTGGGAAAGCAGTAGAAGATGGCCCAAGTCCTTGGGCCCCTGCACCCGAATGGGAGACCAGAAGGAAGCACCTGGCACCTGGCTTCAGATTGGTGCAGCTCTGGCCGTTGCAGCCATCTGGGTAGTGAACCAATGCAAGAAGACCTTTCTCTCTGTCTCTTCCTCTCACTGTCTGTAACTCTACCTCTCAAATAAATAAATGAAATCTTAAAAAAAAAAAAAAAGACAATGAAGCCTTAATTACTCATTTTCATCCTTTATATACACTGTAATCATTTTTTCAGTGTCATTTAAGCTATCTACTGGCAACAGCACCCCTGTGGGTACAGGGGCCCAAGCACTTAGGCTATCTCCCGTTGCTTTCCCCAGCATATTAGCTGGGAGCTGGATCGGAAGTAGATTGGCCGGGTCTCAAACCAGCACCTGTATGGCATGCCAGCATTAGAGGCAGAGACTGACCCTGCTATACCACAACGCCAGTCCCTTCTGTGTGTGTGTATATATATATATATATATATATATATATTTAAACACCTTTTGTGTTTTTTTTTAATTTTTTAACTTAGCATTGTAAGCATTGTCCAACAAATGCCTACACAGAATTGCCGAAGCACCATAATATTTTATATTTTTGAACAGTTCTATTGTTACCAATTATTTTTATATAATGAAAACCAAAGCACAAAACTCTATGCATCACATTGAAAAGTCCCCTGTAGTCCTATCCCCTAGAAACAATAATTGTTAACTAAAACTAAATTTTGTTGTATTTCCCATTGACAAACAAAAACTTAACATATTTAACATAAAACGGTATTATAATGCACATGTGCGTAATGATGCTTCAGTTCACAATGCACAGTATACAGCAGTATATACCACACAGCCTAGGTGTGCAATCAGCTACACCAGCCAGGTTTATGTCAGAGCACTCTATGATGTTTACACATCGATGAGATTGCCAAACAACGCATTTCTCAGAACATCTCCCCATCATTAAGTGACACACAACCCAATATTCTGTATTATGTTTTTTTCCACTGAACCATATCATATTCTATACTTTATCTCAGTCTCAGAGTAAGCCATTCTGTCGACATATTATAATTTTTTGAATCTCCTACTGATGGACATATATAACCTCTCCCTTTTAAAAAACAGATTAAATAATGACAAAGTGAAGACTCTTATACATATTTTCATTTTTTTAAAAAAGGTTATTTATTTGAAAGGCAAAGAAGCACTGGGGGTTGGGGAAACAGACCTTTGATCAATTAATTCACTCCCCAAAGGGTCCCAATAGCCAAGGTTGGGCCAAGCTGAAACTGAGAGCCAGGAGCTCTACCAGGGTATCTCATGTGGGTGGCAGGAGCCCAAGAATTTGAGCCATCATCTGCTTTTTTTTTTTTTTTTTTGACAGGCAGAGTGGACAGTGAAAGAGAGAGACAGAGAGAAAGGTCTTCCTTTGCCGTTGGTTCACCCTCCAATGGCCGCCGCGGTCAGCGCACTGCAGCAGCACACTGCGCTGATCCAAAGCCAGGAGCCAGGTGCTTCTCCTGGTCTCCCATGGGGTGCAGGGCCCAAGCACTTGGGCCATCCTCCACTGCACTCCAGGGCCAAAGCAGGGAACTGGCCTGGAAGAGGGGCAACCGGGACAGAATCCGGCACCCCGACCGGGACTAGAACCCGGTGTGCCAGCGCCGCGAGGCGGAGGATTAGCCTAGTGAGCCGTGGTGCCGGCCTCATCATCTGCTTCTGCCAGGATGCATTTGAATGAAGCCAGACTGGAAGCAGAGTAGGCAGGATTCAAATTGGCACTCCAATATGGAAAATGGGCATTTTAAGTGTGACTTAACCTGCTGTGCCATAATGCCAACCCATTCATACATCTCTAGTGGATAATTTTTCAGATATGAAACTGCTGAATTAAGATGTATGCATGTGTAAAATGGAAAAGCTATGCCAAAACACCCTCCCAGAGGTTGTATCAATGCATGAAATCATAAATACTCAAATAACCTTTCTATTTAAACATACAGCATATATGGCCTGGGAAAGCAGTCAAAGATGGCCCAAGTCTTTGGGCCCCTGCACCCACATGGGAGACCCAGAAGAAGTTCCTGGCTCCTGACTTCAGATAGGCCCAGCTCTGGTCATTACAGCCATTTGGGGAGTGAACCATCAGATGGAAGAGCGCTCTCGCTCGCTCGCTCGCTCTCTCTTTCTCTCTCTCACCATTGGGGGGTGAACCAATGGAAAAGGAAGACCTTTCTGTCTCTCTCTCTCTTTCTCTGCCTCTGTGACTGCCTTTCAAATAAAAAAAAAAAAAAATTCTTTTTTTTTATTTGACAGGCAGAGTGGACAGTGAGAGAGAGAGAGACAGAAAGAAAGGTCTTCCTTTTCCATTGGTTCATCCCTCCAATGGCCGCTGCGGCCGGCACACCGCGCTGATCCGAAGCCAGGAGCCAGGTGCTTCTCCTGGTCTCCCAAGCGGGTGCAGGGGCCCAAGCACTTGGGTCATCCTCCACTGCACTCCCTGGCCACAGCAGAGAGCTGGACTGGAAGAGGAGCAACTGGAACAGAATCCGGTGCCCGACCGGGACTAGAACCCGGTGTGCCAGCGCCGCAGGCGGAGGATTAGCCTATTGAGTCGTGGCGCTGGCCTAAAAAAAAATTCTTTTAAAAAAATAACAAAAATACTGTTAAGTAAATTTTAATATCTTCGGGTTTCATCAAACTTGCAGTGTCCATCTGAAAATGAATATTACTCTTAGTTATGTCCAAAAACAGGATTAACTGAACTTCTACTGGGCCAATGCTGTGGTGTAGTAGGTTAAGCCTCTGCCTGCAGCACTGGCATCCCATATGGGCATCAGTTCAACTCCCAGCTGCTCCACTTTCGATCCAGCTCCTTGCTAATTAGCCTGGGAAAGCAGTGAAAGATGGCCCAGGTGCTTGGGCCCTTGCACCCGCATGGGAGACCAGGAAGAAGCTCCCGGCTCCTGAATTTGGATTGCTGAATCTCTGGTCACTGCAGCCATTTGGGGGGTGAACCAACAGATGGAAGACCTCTTTAAGACCTCTTTCTATGTCTTTTCCTCTGTCTGTAACACTGCCTTTCAAATAAATTAATAAATCTTAAAAAAATAGTATTGACTACTTTCTACAGTTGTATTGTCCAATACAGTAACCACTACCCACATATGGTTACTGAACATTTGAAATGTGGTAAATATGAACCAAGATATACTGTCATTATAAGACACATATCAGATTCTAAAAACCTGAGACAAAAGAATGTGATAATGTGAAATATATCACAAAAAACATTTTATTAATTTTTTTATTTTTTTATTTTTTGACAGGCAGAGTGGACAGTGAGAGAGAGAGAGACAGAGAGAAAGGTCTTCCTTTGCCGTTGGTTCACCCTCCAATGGCCGCCGTGGCCGGCGCGCTGCGGACCGGCGCACCGCGCTGATCCGATGGCAGGAGCCAGGTGCTTCTCCTGGTCTCCCATGGGGTGCAGGGCCCAAGCACTTGGGCCATCCTCCACTGCACTCCCTGGCCACAGCAGAGAGCTGGCCTGGAAGAGGGGCAACCGGGACAGAATCCGGCACCCCGACCGGGACTAGAACCCGGTGTGCCGGCGCCGCAAGGCAGAGGATTAGCCTATTGAGCCGCGGCGCCGGCCCCACAAAGAACATTTAAAATAACAGATGATCAGCCATTTTTTATATACTGGGTTAAATGAAACATTATTAAAGTCCATCTGTTTCATTTTGATTTTTTAACGTGACTTTGAGGACATTTAAATTGGCAATGTTCAACAGACTATACTTTAATACAATTTACTCAATAACTATTAAGTACACAATGAGGGGGGGTCTATGCTGTGGCATAGAGGGGTAAGCCTCTAACTGCGGCACCAGCATCCCATATGGGCACCAGTTCTAATCTCAGCTGCTCTGCTTCCAATCCAGCTCTCTGCTGTGGCCTGGGAAAGCAGTAGAAGACGGCCCAAGTCCTTGGGCCCTTGTACATGTGTGGGAGATCGAGAAGCTCCTGGCTTCAGATCAGCTCAACTCCAGCCACTGTGACCATCTGGGGACTAAATCAGTGGATGGAAGACCTTTCTCTCTGCCTCTTCCTCGGTCTGTAACTCTGCCTATTAAATAAATCTTTTTTAAAAAGTACACGAGATGAAAGACAGGCTTTAAGAAGTAATTCAGATTAAAGACAATTTAGTAATGTGTACTTAACACTCAGCACTGAGCTGATCTCAGTGCTGCTGAAGAAAGGTGTGTATTTTTGTATTAAACAGCCAGACAAAGACAAATGTAATTTTGTTATGCAAGAATGTATATAGGTAGGCATTTGGTCTGGCGGTTAAGATGCCCATAACAGAGTGCCTGGTTCTGATACTGCCTCCAGCTGCCTCTGGCTCCTGACTCCATCTTCCTTCTAATCCAGATCCTGGGAGGCAAAGGTGATGGTCGAAGCAACTAGACTCCTGCCACCCATATGGGAAACCTAGGCTGAGTTCCTGGC